ACAGAAAGATAAAAAGACTAGTTATTCATTTCCAAAAGAAATAGGGGCTTTGCGTCCCCAAAAGCTACAAAAGAAAAGCAAAAGGAGTACAAAAAAGGAGAAATGAAAAGCAGCTTCATCGGGCTCCAGGCACCTCCAGAACTTCGGCCGAGGGCGAATCAGCAATAAAAGGTTGGGAAGCCTCTGGAGCGGGTAGGAGAAGAACTTCGTCAGCAGGAACAGCTGGAACAGCTTGAGCAGCTTCAGGGGCAAGGTCGGGCGGAGCGTCCTCGGACAAGTCCACTATCACCGTTTCGGGAGCATCAGCCGAGGTTTGCATCGGTGTAGGGGCTTCATCCTCGGCAGCAACCTGTGCTTCTGCCTGCTCCATCTCTGCCGAGGGCACATACTTGTGCACTTGGAAGAGAGGGGAGTCTGACGGGACTCCAGCAGCCTGGAGCGCCTCATCCCACCCTTTCTTGAAGAACTCTTTGCTATTTTCTTCAAGAGCGGGGAGCACTTCATCGGCGAACTCCTCCAGAAGTTGTTGCTCCGACTTCCGGTTCAGCTCCTCGGCTCGGATCCTATCTAGCTCCTGGGTAAGGGCCAGGCAGCTTTCCTCGGAGCCCACTGCCCTCTCCTCCGCAGCCGAGAGCCGCTGCGTTTGCTCAGTAATTCTCCTCTCAGCATCGGCAAGTGCGGCACTTAGCTTCTCAGCGCCCAACTTGGCCGATTCAGCGTCCTTGAGGAGTTGCTCTATTTGGGCAGCCTGCCCCGCCAGGGTAGAATCCCTGGCAGCAACTTCTTCCGTTGCCCGAGCAAGGGCAGCTTCCGCTTCAGCCTTCTGATCCTTGGCCCTCTGAAGGTCCATCCTGGACGCGTGGTACCGGCCAGCTATGATAGAAATCTGCTGGGCAGCCTGTAAAAGAAGGAAAGAATGTTAAAACACAAAAGTAGAAAACAAGAGTGAAGGGATCGAAACGGGAATAAACTCACCACCAGGGAGTTCTGGATCATGGAGCGGAACAACACGTTGGTTGATCGCCCCCGATGAGCCTCCATGTCAGCCTCAAAATGCAATGTCTCACTCACTGCATAGGCGACATGGGGATCCTGCAGAATGGAATCATCGACCCTGATCACTCGGTTCATGTGATCAGTAGCCCGAGGATTCCACACCGCGGCCTCCACTGTGGATGGGAGGGAAGGAGTAGCCTGTTGTTGTTGCTGCTGCTGCTGTTGTCGGGGCTGCTGTAGTTGCTGCTGTTGTCGAGTTTGCTGCTGCGGTTGCTGCGGTTGTGAGGGAGTAGAGGGTAATCCACGATCCCTCCCGCTTTGCTGCTGAGCGGGAGGCACCCTGGGTCCTCGGCTGAGGCCATCGTGCCGATGCTTCACCCTCCTCTCCTCCTCCACCTGAGGGTCCCGATCTCGCACCTGACCCCGATCAGGAACCCTTGATGATGGGGCAGAGCTGGTTCCTGCCGGAGTACCGCCGGCCGTCCCTCGACCTCTCCCGGCCGCGAGGGATTGCCTCTGCCTAAGAAACCCCAAATTAATGCGAGGGGCGTTGGACATCGCTTCCTCGAGAGCGTCTTCGGCGTCCAAAGATTGGAGAATTTGAAAATCGGGCCACAAGTCGCCTCCCGAAGTCCCCACCTCGGCGTCCGAAGGAGCAACGTCCTCTCTGACCCCGACTTCCTCAGCAACTCCCTCTACCTCTCCCTCTGAAGCCCGATCCGGGTCTTCCTCCAAGTTCTGCTCGACCTCTAGCCTCGCCGCCTGATCAAAGAGCTCTGACCACTGCGAAGGCTCGAAAGGTTGAGGGAGCTGTGAGAACTTCTTATACCCGGGGGTATAGTGCAGCAAATTATGGGCAGCTCGGCCAAATCCGTCGGCACCCGTGAAACTCCAAACCGTTGTTAAGTCGCCAAAATTGACCAGCGACCGAGGGGGTGGAGCTGTTTCCCGAGAAGGAATACCTGCACAACAAAAAAGATTGTCATAAACATGAGAAGTCCCAAGAAACAAATAAAAATACCCAAAGGAACCGACGTACTTGTCGTTCTCCATTCCCGAGGGCAAAATAGGTCATTGTACTCGGGACCGACACCCCTCTCCCAACATCCCTTGAAGATCAAGATGTCGTCCTTGTACCCCTTGTCCGAGTCAGGAAGATGGGTTACAAGGTACATAGAGGGGTCCCTGGCTTTGAGGTAGAAATGTTGGTGGGGCATGACTCTTAGGAGAGAGTAACAGAAAAGGAGGTCGTTGAGCCCAATATTCACCCCGAGGCGCCTATTGAGCTCTAGGACCCCCATAATTATCCGAAAGACGTTGAGGCAGCATTGCCCGGGGAAGAGACGGAAGCGAGACAGGAACTGAAGAAGCAGGGGGGGTAAAGGAAACCTAATGCCACCCTCTATGATGGCCTTGGTATAGAAAGGCATGGCATCCGTGGCCCCGAAGGTAGGAGAGTACAACAAAGGGTTAAAACCCACTACGTCCACGCTCGGAGGGATGCCATACTTCGCCCTGAACCTATCGATCTGTGCCTCGCCCGTCACCTTGTATTTCCCTGACCCCGAGGGACCAGCCGATGGATTCTCGGGAACAGGGCGACGACGAGGCATCTCTAAAAAGAAAGGGGAGGAAAAGGTGTTCTCTCTTGAAAACCTGAGGAAGTTCCCCGAGGGTTTAAATCAAGACGTACCGACCGGATGACACCACCGTTCAAATCGGAGAACAAGAAGGCCAGGAAGACGATAAAGAAGAAGGTTGTGAAACTCACCAGAAGACGTCGGAAACGGAGTTTTTCAGGAAAAAAACTTTGAAAACAACTCGCACCGGAAGGACCAGGAGTCAACAATGGGTTTACTGACTGTGATTTTAAGAGAAGATGCTGTCGATGATGGCTGAGAAAACAAAAAACTCCGGCGAGCAGATCGGAAAAGGCGTATTCTGGGTCAGAGATCGGAATGGCAAAATGATAGAAACCGGAGAAGAACCCCCTTTATATAGGGGGGAAAACTGTCATCATTGGGCGGGAGAACCAAAAAAAACAGCGCATTTAATGCGCACGACATCCCAAGACGGGGAAAGCTGCTCGAGGCCATAATGAAGGACGGATGGCAGTTGGAAAACCCTTCGTCTCCTTACAACGCGTGTCCTCGGTGTCAGAAGATCGAAGGCTGGGGGGCAGTTGATGGGACTCTTCTGAAAAGCCCTAAGATGATGACACGTGTCCTCGGGATATTTGGAACAGTGTTGCCTGGATGTAAGCACCATCGGCGAAGAGCGTCCTTTACCCCGAGGTACCTCTCATATAGGATCACACATTCGGTATGTTATACAACAAACACGTGTCCTCGGTCACACGTGTACCTCGGGGACACACCACCCCCTTGGTCCCGAGGTGAGCCTTTCCTCGGCGCCGAGGGTCACTCCATCCTGGACGCTTCCTCTACTCCCGGATAAAGCTACGGACATACTGGACATCAGCCTATGCCAGTATGGGTTATTCATCATGACCTCTTCTTACACAAGTAATGTCAGAACGTGCTGGAATACCGACGTAACAGCCAATAAGGGATGGACGCGTGGCAAATAATGTCACATCCGAAGCAGACAAACCGCGTGCCGTTGCTGACACGCGACTTGGGAAAGCAAACAATTAATTGCACCCTTCTGTTGACGAGACCGCATTCAATGCGGTAAGGTTCGGATATGAAAGGCAATAAATGCTCCTATTACAGAGCATTTATTGCATCCTTCCCGACAGGAGCATATTGTACCATCGGCGTCCCGACAGACTCAGCATTGATTGTTCGGGACCCCGAGCAATCAATTAGAGAAGACATTCCTCATCAAATGATTACACACGCTACCTGTGCCTGATGATTACCTACTGACCACACTGACAGCAATCATGATCTTCTAAGGTATAAATACCCCTCCCAAAAGACAAAGCGGGTATGTAATCACAAACTCTCTACTACAAAAATATCCTTCTCAAGTGTTTTCTCCTTCCTCTCTCTCATTCAAAGACTGACTAGACCGTCGGAGGGGATACGCCGGAAAACACTCCGGCGCCCTTCTAACTCGTTCTCTTTTGTCCCAGGAAATACCTTTCGCACGTACAGGATCGTTCCTTCTTTCCCAGGATCGTAAGCTGTTTCGAGCAGTGTGTTTGGCCACTCAATCGGCTCGCCCAAAGTTCACCAGGGGAGAGATCTGTTCCCAATATTGTATATATATCGTGCAGGATCAAGCCCGCACACTTGGCATTGGACCTTTTCTTTTATTAAATGCAAGGTGGAGATTCTTCTGCTGGGTTCGGTCCCTTGTGCCAAAAGAGCAACTATGGAAATCTCTTTTAAAGCTTACCAACAGATCGGCGCAAACCCAGCACTGTGGTGGTGCTCGGCCTCTTTCTTGGTCTGTTCAAGGGGATCTCGGTTCATCATGTTGCCTTCGAAGTGTGTTCTGAAGGGCTGACTTTTGAGTGGTGAGCTCGGCTGGTTAGTCTCCGTATCATCAAGCTTATCTCTGTGTTTCCAGCAAGTTTGAGCGGATTACACAATGGTGATCAATCTCACACCAGAAATTCAAAGGAGTTCGGTACCATTATGAAAGATCGGCCTCTCGACGTCCTTCGGAATGAGCAGTCTATGACTCATTCTCCCTCAAGGAGCTATTCTTTTGAGCGTTCAATCAAGCGTCATGGCATGTTTATTGCTGCACAGCGCGCTCAACACAGCTGCAGGCTCATGGAGGGACGTCGGTCAATCGAAATATGTTCGGCATCACGAAAATGGTCGGAGGCCAAAAGTGGTCGAGGCCCCTGTAACAGTGATCGGCATCACTGCCAATTAGACGCGTAAGCCTTGTGGGTGGTCGGCGTACCCGTCTGATGCTCGTTAGAAATCAACAGTCAATTCGGATACTCTACATGCAGCTCGGCGTATACAGTCTGACCATGTTCGGCATAAGTCCGAGTGTGTTTTGAATAGGTGCTATCGTGAATGAAGCTTCAAGTGTTCGGCCTTTCATCACTGTCAAGCTATGGTGGTCGGGCTTTTTCGAATAATGAGGGGAATACGCCGAACGAAGAGCGTACCATGTCGAGTGAGCATTCTCTGGATGATCATGAACTGAACACGACATATGACACGAGTGAGTATAATTCTTAGAGCCAAGCATAGGCAGATCTAGTAAATTACGCCACGATTGTCGTGGTCCATGAAATCCCAATCGGGGTCTCGGCTTCACTTCAAATCTTGGGAGTGCTCGAGTATCTTCTCTAAATGCAGTCGTGGTACATACCCTCCTCTTCTTTATTAAAACCTCTCTCTCTCATCCATAGAAACCAAAACACAACCCCCTTTCTCTCTCCTCTACCTGTAAATATATGGCCAGCAAGCTTTAAGTGGATGAACTCCGAACACAACTCGCCCAATGTGGACTCAGCACCACCAGGACCAAACCCACACTGGTTCAAAGACTCGAATCAGCTATTGTAGATGGAAAGCAATCAATTAATTCAATTGATGGTTTGAGTAATAAGAAAAGGCAAAGGGATTCTGAGAATGGGGATTCTAATGGGTCAGAGAAGATTAAGGCCATTGACAAGTTTCGACACATGGGTATCAAAGAATTACGGGAATAAGCCGAGATTAGAGGAACTTCAACAGCTGGGTTCGAGAAAGAACTTCCTGAGAGACTCTGTACTGATTCACAGAAGAACAATGGCATATCCCCGAAACTGACGTATCAAAAATTCTTGAGGTTTCCTGAAACAGTTTGTCCAATCGCTCATTGCACGTCCGCATATGGAATTCGGCAAATACGAAGATAAGTGACACATTTCGTTGCACGATTACTGTCTATTATTTATTAGTAAAAATGTGCCTGTGAATAAGAAATTCACGTCATACACAACTTTACGTGTCAATGGCTTATACTTTAGTTGAACCCCTCAGCACTATCACAAAGCATGGTGTCATTCACTCGAAGCTATTTGTTATTTTCTTTGCTGTTGGCTTTAGAAATAAGCCAGCTGGACTTTCCCTTTGTCTCAGCTGCTATTAGCATGAGCGAAATGTGAATTGGTAAAAAATGACCGATCTTTATTTTCAAGGTCAAGCGTATAGCTCTGCCTTTCTTTATGCTTCTTGACTGTGCATGGCCTAGCTGAACGAAAATCTATTTAAGCGAATAAATTGTCATATTTGAAGTCCTTGGCCCCTTTACTTGGTGGGGACCACATGGTCACTTGTTAAGACAATACTCACCATATGCAAAGGCCGAATGGCCGCCACCTCTTGCTACAACCGCCACACCTGTGCACACAACTTATGCATGCAGATCGTATTGCTTTGATGGCCATAAGTCATGACACTCGTAGGTGGGCCTCATAGGAAAGCAATTCTTTGTGAATCTGCGAAAGTACAGGTGACCAATATCACATGTGGCTGATAAGAAACAAAGTTATCCTATTACGAGCATGCATCTATTGTTGCTTTTTCAGTATTGCAGGATTTATTATTTAAAGGACTGAGCAAAGGGCAAGATCCGACCGAGCAAATAGCTAGGCTATTCTGGCCGACCAAAACTTAGTCCGGCCGAGCAGAGGATAGCGTACAAGAGCGAGGAGACCGTGCATCTGGAATATTCATCATGGTTTTCCGTATTTTTGCATTGCGTGATGGACGCCATCTCATGAAGCAAGAAGAATTATTCATCTTCCAGAAGCATAATCTACTGGTTGTGGTATTTCTCTTCCATGGAATTTGTTTTTAGAACAAAATCTGCTGCCCTTTATTTGGGCTCCATGTGACCAACACAAAGAGAGAAGTTTGGGACTTTCTGGTATGTCTTGGATGCCAAAGAATACTTAAAAGTCTTTGAGATGATCCAATTTTTATGATGGAGTTGACCAATGAGAAGAGATCCAAGAAGTCATACAAATCGATATGACAGAAATCCAAGAGGAACAATTACTTGATACCGAAAGAAATTCAAGAAGGTCAATTTCTTGATATTCGACTCTAAGTGTCAACCAATAAGAATTAAATTTTATGAATTCGAGACAAATTAGAGTGTACCACTCAATTCCTAATATGAAGGATCTACATGAGTAGAAATTAACTCTCTATGGACATTGGTGAGACTCAAGAATTTAACTACACATGATCTTGTTGGAAGTAAGCAGAATCCATTGTCGATGTAGTGTGCCACTATGCCCGATGAACATTGGCTTTAAGACCAAGTTTCTCCTAAGTGAAATATTACTCAAGTTACAAATCCATGGAGATATATTGTTATGATGGTTCAACATTTCCAAATAAACTCTCTTGTGGCTTCAAGAGTCCAAAGGGTCTTCTCTTAGTCCATTGGATTATAAACTATGAAGAATCCTTAGAAAACTTTGGTTTGATTATCTATTTGAGCTTACATCACACATGGATCATGGGTCAGAATCTCATAACAAATTTATTAAAGCCATCTGCATATCGCGATGACGAAGGAGGATTAATCAATTAGGAAAAGACACCCAAGGGATACAATATTTGGCAAGGACTTTTCTTGTATTGTAGAATAACCAAGAGCATAGCTTGTCCGTATATATTAGAGTTTCAGAGACTACCTCGAATAAAGCAAAACAAGTGAAAACTTATTGATGTTTTGACAACCTAAGTTGTTTCCACAAGAGATCAGCAACAAGGGGTGCTTGCAACAAGACTTTTAGTAACCAAAAAGTATGTACTGTTGCCAAAACTAGTCATGCGAAAGAACCATTTAGGCATTTGGATGAATACCAGCAGCCCGCCTCTCGTGCTAGTGCCCATGACTTCCATTAGTGCTGTAAATCATTTCAAAGCATCCAAAAACTTTTACCCCGACACCAACAACTGGAGATAGGTCGAGAGGACATCTAGACCAGAGGAAGAGGTCAAAAGATCAAAGATAAATACGCGACACGAAGCCCGAGCAATCATGATTCCATCGTTGATATTGAATAAATTTTTGTGAGGCTCCATGTTACACATGCACTTATAGCTACTTGAATTATTATCTACCACAAAAACAAGTTGACATGGGGGCCGAGATCCTCAAGTATGGAAAAATTAAGGGTTGGGTCGTACCGTGCTTAACCCCTCTATTTGGACCAAAAAACCGATACAAGCCAAAATAAGAATCAACATTCTTTTATAAATGATACACTTGAGCTCTTGAAGTGGTGTAACTGATGCCATATCACTTCAATGGAGTATCTTATGCGAATTGATAAGATTGAGCTTTAGAGCTAATTTTTGTGGAGTACCTACCACATGAAAGATGTCTAATGGCGGAGTACCTCCCGCGAGTAGATAAGATTGAGTCATAAAACTAATTTTTGTGGAGTACCTGCCACATCGAAGACCCAAGAAGGCTCGGGCATAGGCCAACCTACTGCTAAGATGGTAAGGAAAAAATCCTGATAGAGGCAGGGACCTAGCTCAAGTGCAGCCATCCGATCAAACTTAGGCTCATGGCTATGCACAACGGTGTAAGCCAAATGGGTAAAGTTTGAAGACCGATTAGATCGGCGGATCGGTGCAAGGGTCACAATAAGTGACCAAGAATTGATGCTCGAACCCTTCAACGAGGCAGGTCCTCTTGGCTAGGGGAAGGGGCATAAAAAATGCCTTTTTATGAGGAGCAATATAAGGCAATTAATGAGAGAGGATTGTAAACAGAGAATATCTTCTAATGTGCCACATGAAAAATATTCTCTAGGGGCAAATGAAGGGGTCAATAAATTCTGACCATCATATGACAATTAAACTTGGAGGCGTGACAGGTTGCATGTGCTGAAAAGAGTTAGTTGCAATAACTCTACTATAACCGAGCAGATAGCTAGGCTTTCCGGGCCGAGCAAAGCAAGTGGCTAGGCTATCCGAGCTGAGCTGAGCAAGTAGCTAGGCTATTCGACCGAGCAAAAAATTGGTCGGACCTAGTAGAGAATAAAACTCAACCAAACAGATAGCTAAGTTGTCCTGGCCGAGCAGAGGATGAGATCCGACTAAGTTGTCATCAAATAGCAATCGAGCTAATCAGAAATCTCGGGAAGGAATGAGCTCAGTCCTCGTCACAACCGAGTTGTTTAAAATAGTAACGTGGTACTAAAAAAATGCCTACAATTTAGGCATTATGGTTAAATGAATGAGTATGATCATAGGCTCAGTATATGGAATTACTTGAGAAATATCAACAACACCTCAAACTGAATCGCTAAATTGAAGGAAGGTGTGCTACCTTGAATCAAAATTCAGGGAAACCCTAAGAGGATAATGATCTATAAAAGGCGAAAGTAACCAGGGTGAAATGTACGCTGAACTCTCCTGGTCTTCGTGCAATTCTTCTTGTTCCATTACTGACTTAAGCATTGGAGTGTCTTCGATCGAAGCACTTCAATCTTGGACAGTTTGTTCATTTTGCAAGGAAAAGATTAGGAGACAGTTCAGGATTCTTTTCCAGAAATCACATCACAAATTCACTGTTAGAGGTATTACCAATTGTTTGCTTCTACAACGTCCATAGGCTAATACATCTTCGAAGACGCAAATGTGTGCGTCAATAAGGAAATCCAGATCAACGGTCACGAAAACACCATCATCGTACATCTCAGCCACTCCTTTCAAATATGGGTTTGTCATTGACATATTGGGACCCACCACCATTCTTGCATTGATACACATTATATTCACCCCTTTGTCCATTGCGAAGGCTAGGGGTGTAACTTGAGTTGGACAACTCAATTTCAACTCTAAAAAATTAAGACTTAGATAAGAGTTTTTAATACTTGGATTAGACTTAGATCAAAAAACTCTAATCCAAATTCAATTTGGGTTAGGTTCAGACTAAGGCCTCGGATTCACGGGTTCACCCCGAACCCGACAAATTAAAAAAATAAATAAATAAAAAATATATATATATATAAAGCATTAGCAGTGCTTTTTCATTTTTGGTGTGAAAGCAGATGATCAATAATTATGCACTGTTATGAATGAAGTATATGGATTATGTTTTATGAATTTGTAATTATGTTAAAATTTTGGTTGAAATTATTAGTTTTTAATTTATGTGAATATTATGTAATATATGTATTAGGTTTAGAACAATAAGCCTATTTTGGGTTCTATCCGAACTCAACTCAAATTAAACCCATAAAGTAATCCGAAATCATTAACCCGAGCCCGCCCGAATTAAAATCGGACAGTGGTTGGGTTAAGTTCCTCAACCCGAGATAAGGTTAGAATTGAAGATTATATATTTAAAGTTAAACTAAAGTTGAGTGTCCAACCCGCTCGAATTGCACCCCTAACCGAGGCCCAAGTAACTTTCTCCGCCAGCGTCTTGGACAGGGCATGCCACAGCTGTCCGTACAAAATAACAAGGATAAAAGTGTAAATTTATAAATTTTGAAAAATAAAATATTATTTTGTTTGTGTTTAATCACTTAAAAGGGTTTGTCAATCAAACGTGGTCCATTGTAGAGAGTCTTAACTTATATATGTGGAGAAACTATTGTCACAATTTAAGAATTCAATAATTTAGAAAACTCACGACCCTACATATATTTGGGTAAAAATATAAAAAATGAAATAAAACAAATCTGAACCAAGCCTAGTTCTTACTTCATCCTTGCACTTAATCCTCTCTAATTTGTACCTATACTGTAAATTTAATAGAACTCGTTTAATATTGTGATGACGCAATAATTTTACACACTAATTAAGCACGTGTTATAAAATAAATAATTTTTTTTTAATTAAAGAATTAAATTATCAATTTTACCCTTCATCTTCCTCTCTGTCACTTCTATTTACCTTTTTCTCTTGACTTACAAATTCATTATTGACCCATCAAATTACTTATTTTCTCAAATTTGATGTCATTCTTGAAATTCTTGACTCCAAATTAGTCAAACTCAATCGCTTAACCACTTGTTTTGAACTTTTAATAAGTTTTTAATAAATTTTAATTTTCAAGTTTCTAAATGTTAGTAAGTTTCTTCGCTACACACACACCCCTCTTTTATAACTTCCAAGCACTCCATATATATTGTACTACAACCCCATAAAACAACTCAAGACTCAATTGAGAAAGAAATGGTTATTTACTATATAACCCATTTAAAAATTCATAACCACTTTAAGCTTCAAACACAAATTCAAGCACACACAAAATATGAAACTTAAATCTAATTACACTAATGAAATTTTCATAAAAAATAAGTCTGATCAAGTTGAGTTTATGTATTGTAAGTCTGTCAGTTAAAAACCCAAAATTCTTTCTCTTCCCTTTCTTCAACTTATTTATCTCCCTTCTCTTCCCCCCCCCCCCCCCCCCCCCCCCCCCCCCCCGGCGCGCGCACAGTTCTGACCTTTTCCACAACTTGCAAAGAAATTTGTGGGGTGTAGTGATGGAATGCAACTTTGGTGATAAAAGTGTGGTAGTTGCAGATTTTATTTTTTAAAGATAAGAGTTCTACAATGCTGATATCACCCAAAAAAAATTGAATTACAGTCACGAGTAATTTATTCTTTTTGTATAAACTGTTATTTGGATTATCGTTTACAATTTGTTCACAAGTTAGGGAGGGTTAAACAAAATTCATAAAAGTATAGGGAAAAAAATGAGATTGAAACTTATGCTCCGTTTAGTAGGAATGATGAAAAGTAACAAGGATGAAAAATATGAAGAATAAAAAGTAGGAATGATACATTTTATATCCTTTAAAGAAGGAAAGTAGGAAGAATAGAAAGTAGGAATGACACATTTTATATCCTTCAAGGAAGAAAAATAGCAATGATACATTTTTCTTCTTTTGTGTTTAATTAGATGAATGAAAAATAAAAATGACTATTTTTTTTTGTACTGGCTAAAATTAGGGGTGACAATCGAATCGTGATATATCATATTCGTGTTGATTCATTACGGATATGTGTCGAATATTAGTCACATCTAACTCAACTCATTTAGTTAATTATATCGTGTCGAATTACGAGTTGACCTGTTTATTTTCGTGTTGTGTTCGTGTTCGAGTTAATCAAGTTTGTGTCAAGTTCGAATCCTGCCATCGTGTTGAATCATAAATTTTTACTCCTAGTTATGATGGAATAATTATTTTTTTAATTTAAAAAATTTTAATTTTTAAATTTTTTTAATATATATATATATAATTTGTTATTATATTTTTATATGAAATTATATTATATTTTTATATGAAATTAATGTATACATAATATATGTATATATAAAAAGATATATAGACAAATAAGATACATCTTAACACAAATAATTAACTTTTCATCTTTTTTTTCATCCTTCTTATTTTTCTTCCTTACCAAACATGATGTTCTATTTATCCCTCTAACTTTTCATATTTTCAACTTTTCATCGTACCAAACGAAACATTAGTTCCTAAGAGTTATTTGTTTTTTTTACCCATGTTATTTTCTCAGATACGGCTGACATCATTATACATGTTAGGTAGGTTAGGGGAAGGGGGTGGAGTGAACATGGTGGGATTGGATCTGGTTTAAACAAGAACAATAAGATCATGAAGAATTAAATATTATGGGGTAGAACAATGAAATTATATATATTTCGACCCGACAACAAAACACCGTAAAATGAGTGGAGAAAAATTACAAAACTTAAATCTTAAACGATTAGTGAGGTGTGAAGATAAAATTACCTTAATCTTACGGCAGATATTAATGTCACTCCAATGTTTTTCATCTAAATCTGCAGGAGATGATGACGAATTTCGATCGTCTCTCCAAATAACAGTCGTTGCTGAGGATGTAAATACAACCTTGTCTATGGTGTCCGTTTGAGCACATGCTTCCAATTCATTGTGTGCTGCTCTAACCTCAACTTCTGCCATTAACTCCTGCTCCAAACAAAGTCATTATTATCTGTGAGTGATTTCTTTTCGTCTTTTTTTTTTTGGTCAGGCAATATTAAAGGGAGGAGGACCATAAAGTTCGAATTAGCAATACTAATGTTCCGTTTGGTATAATAAAAAAATAGAATGATAGAAAATTAGAATGATAGAAAGTTGGAAGGATAAATAAAATATCATGATTGGTAAAAAAAAAAAATAAGAAGGATGAAAAAGTGCATATATTAACTTTCATTCCAACTCATCAAAATTAATCCTTCCAAAATCAGAAAAAAAGTGGATGAAAAATTAATTATTTTTGTTGAGATGTATCTTATTTATCTATATATCTTTTGATATATACATATATTATGTATACATTAATTTCATATAAAAATACAATGATAAAATATGTATTTATATATATTTTTAAAAAAAATTTAAAAATAAAAAAAATAAAATTTTGGATTTATTTTTTAATTAAAATTATATCAACACAAATACAAACATAAATATGACACAAAAATAAACAGGTCAACTCGCAACTTGACACGACACAATTAGTTAAATGAGTTGAGTTATGTTTAACTAATATTTGACACAAACCCGTAATGACTCAACACGAATCTAACACGACATGACTCGATTGTCACTCCTAATCTTAGCCAACATAAAAAAAAAAATTAGTTATTTTTATTTTTCATTCATCCAATCAAACACAAAGAAAGAAAATTGTTTCATTCCTATTTCCTTCCTTGAAGAATAGAAAATGTATCTCTCCTACTTTTCATTCTCCTTATTTTTCATCCTCCCTACTCTACATCCGTCCTACCAAACGGAGCATAATGTTTCGTTTGGTACGATGAAAAAATGGAAGGATGAAAAATTTGAGAGATAAATAAAATATCATGTTTGGTAAGAAAAGAAAATAAGAATAATGAAAAAGTGGATGGATTAACTTTCCTTCTAACTCACAATAATCAATCCCTCCAAAATCGGAAAAAAAGTAGATGAAAAGTTAATTATTTGCGTTAAGATGTATCTTATTTGTCTATATATTATGTATACATTAATTTCATATAAAAATATAATGATAATATATAAATAAATATATATATATTTAAATAAAATATAATAAAAAAATAAAAATAAAAAATTTAAATTAAAAAAAATATATTTTTTTTTATCTTAACTAGGGTAAAAATTTTCGACTCAACACGATAATATGACTCGAACTCGATACAAATTTTATGACATGAACTTGATTATAACTCGACACGAACTTGAAATAACCTAACACATGAACAAGAAATGTAAAATGCCTACAATTTTCTAACTCAACACGAATCTGACACGATGCGACTTGATTGTCACCCCTAATATTAGACAAAAAAAATTAATCATTTTTATTTTCATCCATCCAACTAAACACAAAGGAATAAAAGTATATTATTCTTTCTTTTTATCTTTCTTACCAAACAGAACATAAAATTTATCGATGATAACCATTAGGCCGGTGACTAACCTCCTATATTGGTACTTTTATGTTAGGACCTTTCAAGATTATCTTTTTTTAATTGGAGTAAATTACATTTTACCCCATTAACTATTACCCTTGTTTCATTTTTCACTCTCAATTATAAAATTTCTTACATTGTATCTTAAAATATCAATTTAATTTTATATAACTTCAACAGATAGTGACAAAATTAAAAATCTGTCAAATGAGGGTGGAAAACCTCAAATAACTTCCTACTAAGAAAATAAAAATCGATTAGAGGAAAAAAAATTTGAAGCTTAGGAAGAGCGATGTGAAATAAAAATTGATTTTTTAAAGTGCAATGTGATAAATTTTATAATTGAGAGTGTAAAATGAAACAAGAGTAATAGTTCAAAAAGGATAAAGTGTAATTTACCTTTTTTATTGATTGAATTTTTTTTATTCAAGCAATAATGTTGAGACCTAATTTAGACACTAATGTGAGTATCGAATTTCATCGTCTTCATTAGATTTAGAGCGGATCCCCAATAATAAATTTTAGAACCAATAAAAGGGTCAATTATTTATTTTCAGCTTTGATGACTTGATCAATAACTTGCTCAAAATACATATTGACGTCTATTAATTAAATTCTTTATCATCACTTATTCTGACAACTTGAAAAGAAAGAATAGGAAGGTCAAGAGGTAGATCAGTAATAAAGACGAATTATAAATGTAAATATTTTGAGTTTAAATTTTAATAATTTTTTTGAAGATAAATCATAAAGAATTTATCCCATCATAAATACTTTAATTTTAATATAGATGACTTGTACTTGACTCAAATAGTCTTAACGTTGAACCACTAAAAAGATTTGAGCGGGAGAGAGAGAATAAGTTGGAGTCGGCAAACGGCAAGTAATTGCGACCCCAAAAAGGGTTGGGACCTAAAAAAGTTGGAATGGACATGCAATTAAGTATAGGAATTAGAACCCTTTCATGGTTACGTGAACTCCATCTAACATTATATCGTGACAGGTGACCGTGCAAAACCCAACTTGTTTACTTGACTTGAACCAACAACTCTGACTACATTGGAGAAAGATTGTTGTTCAATACTAAAAGACTTATTGGTCCACGTTTCATTAGCTAAACTTATGGTACCATTAGTTTTTAATTTTTTGGTATTATATCAAAAAAATTAAAAAAAAATTTATATTTCATAATATTTGTAATCCCTAAAGTATGCTTATTTTGTCAATCTGATTCTCATTATATTAATTTTGTCAATTTAATTTTTAAATTTGTAATTTGTGTCACTTTAGTCACTAACCAAACATTATTGTTAAGTTTTTTTTGATGAAATTGATCATATGTCATTTTGATATCATGTGATTACCGCATGATTATTTCGTTAAAAATTTAATAGTCTGTTTGTGCAAGCATAATTTCTTAAGGAATGAAATTAAAAAATTAATATTTTAGAAATCAAATTAACAAATTGTACATATTTTTGAGGACCAAAAGTGTTATATCCCATAAAAAATAAAAAATGATAAGTTTGACCCATAAAAAAATAATAAATCTTATCCAAAAGATAGTATACATATCTAAAAAAAGTCCTAACCGATATAATTTTTTTTTTTTTTGATACTCTACTAAACAAGTCAGCAATAATAAATGCTAACGTGAAAAAGTTCTTATTAACATCTGAAACTATGAAAGCGAAAGCAGAAGATTTTCCCGGGTGAAAATGTTGATCTGGATATATATATATATATATATATATATATATATATATATATATATATATTTTTAAAATGGTCAACAGTGTATAGATTAATTTATGCATATTTCGATTAATTCTCATACTAATTCTGTTAAAGATAAGTGATTCACCGTGAGATTAAAATATTTATAAAAAATAAAACTCTGTAAGTGATAATTATCCTTGTGAGTGCATTTATGCTATTGATAAAATAGATATGTACCAACAAAAGAAACTGATAAAAGATGAAAGAATGGATGTACATCATAAATAAGTTGGTCCGGAGGAGGCTTGCAGGTGGGGAGTTAAAAGAGGTTGACACATGTGTCTGTAGTTGGCAAGTAATGTGAGTATTTATAGCACAGTGCTCGGGCAAGTCAAGCTGCCCAAAGGGCTGCCCGTCGCGACCCCCTACCACTCATGCTAACCCACAACTGCCTCAACCGCGACAATACTACTGGTCATTAACGGCGAGCCATGCGTCCCAACATTAACTAGGTAGATGTGATGTTTCCCCAAATTCAACCTGAACGTGGCCCCGAGGAAGGTGTGACAGCCAAGGTGAGAGAGAGCTCCCAAGGTCCATGACCGCGACTGGCCACCGCAGGACCATGGCCTCGAGAGGACCATGCCCGCGATGCCCCCAACGCGCTTCTACCCGGGGTCTTTCTTTCCCTCTCTAGATCCTTCTTGGAGACCTTTGTCGAGGTGTCCAATAGAGAAAACCCATATAGTTTTGGTCCTTTAGCCACCAATCCATATGTCTCATCATCTCATATGCTGATCCGGTCCAATAACCCTAGTTACCTTAAGAGTCTCTCCGGATCCCAGTCAAGCACATTCCAGTGGGCAGTGAGCCATACACTAGGAGGCCTACTTGAGCAGACTAAACCTTCAAGACCCTGCTCCCAGGCTAAGGTTGACAATCGTGCTCATCCGCTCCTATTGCTCAATTCTCCCTTGAGGAGGGTCATACTCCCCTGTCCCTAGGTGGGGACATCTTTTAGTCTAGTGGGCCAGTCGAGCAACGGTTGAGGATACCATTCCCGTAGCGGGGGAGGCGAGTATTGCCGCGGTTGCCCCCATACTTCTATGACACCATTCCTGTAAAAGGGCGTCGCGCCAAGGGGTATTGCGCCCAAGGGCGTTGCACTTGAGGTTGCCCCATACTTCTACGATTCCACTTTTGTCCCACATCGGTGAAAGGTTCATTTTGCCATTTCCAATGTGATGGAGATGTATCTCGCCCAGATGCGGTATTGTGGTTAAGGGCGTTGCGCCCAGGGGCGTAGTGCCCAAGGTTGCCCCATACTTCTATGATTTCACTTTTGTCCACCCTTGGTGAAGGGTCCACTTTTCCACTTCTAATGCGACGGGGATATATGTTGCCCTGTTGCGATGTTGTGCCTGAGAGCATCGCTGCCAGGGGGTCACGCCAAGTGGGTGTCGCAGCCAGGGGCGTTGCACCTTAGGTGTCACGCATGAGTGTTGTACCTTGGGCATCATGCATGACATTATTATTTACACGCGCCCAAGGGGCGTTGTAAGCCCCCACATTCTTATTTGTTTTTAGCCCCGTAATTGTTTTTGAAATGCTAATATATGTAACGAGGTATACATGAACTATGTAGAGGACAAGAGTAGAAATAAAAATGTTAGTGGAGGTAATAGGGTATGTTATAGAAAGTTAAAAGTATTTCGGAGTGAAATCGCATTTTAAAGATAATTTGGGTAAGATGGATTTTTGACACTGCCTTAGTGTTTGGGTTATAAATTTTTATTTTGATATCCATTTGACCTAAAATTTTGACAGTAAACTCTAAACTTCCAGGCCTACAAAATAGTATTCACAAAAATTTTTCAAATCAACCTCTAAATAGGTCAAAACTCCACTGAAAATTTCAGCAGAAACTGGAAGGACGTTCGAATAACAGTAAGTCCCAGTACTTTGATGTCTGCAAAGCTCTGATGGAAATGCAAAAGTATTGGGAGAAACTAACGTTCGAACACCAAGTGACATTCGAACGTGAATCAATAATTTGCACTATTGACGTTCGAACGCCAAAGTGATGTTCGAACGTGAGTTATGAAATCTGGGTTTGAAAATTACGCACAAGAGGTTATTTCTTCCACTATAAATACTTAAGGACACCCTCATTAGCCCCATTTCAACACATATAATCCTAGGAAGTCTTAGAGAGGAAGAAATAAGGAGAAAAACACAAGATCAAGGAGGATTTTCACATTGAAGTGGATCAAATCTCAAGTTCTTCACACAAAACTAAGGAAGAAGGTAGAGATTTTCTTCCATTCTTGTTCATAAATACGAGGGCTTATATATACATATGTTTTGACTCTTAATCATATATATTTGTTATGAAATCCTTATTTCTTGATGTTCTTGCAAACTTTACCATGTTTTGAAGGAATTTATGGTTTGATAATCATAGAAATTCATGTTCTTTATGTCATAACCTAGTTTTGAGAAAAATAGATTTTTCTTCTTGATATTATTGTGTTCTTGATTCAAAAACTTTAGTGCTTTATTTTGAATAATAAAAGTAGATCTTTTGATGATCTCTTGCTTATTTTCTTGAATTGTTAGGTTGGAAAAATACCTATGGAATTGGGGGTTTATGATTTACTTGTGATTTTGAGAAATACCTATGGAATTGGGGGTTTTGAATTTACTTGTGATTTGAGAAAATGGTTAGTATTGCATCTCTTGTATAGTTGTTATGATGGACTTGAATTGCCTTCAAGAATTTCATAGAGTGTTAGAGGTTAGTCTATCCCAGTGGGGGTGAGATGATTTCCTAACATTTGTAGTGGATTGTTGTTTGTGAAAGCAACCAGTATTGTTCACGTAAGTTTGAGGTTGAGGGATGGTATACCTTTCTGCGAAAGGATTCGTCAATGCCGTGGGAGATGGTATACGCCCTTCCTAAATTGGTTTGTGTGGTTATGATGGGTGAACAAGGTAGAATCATCATGTAGATTCATGGGAAGCAATCAACATACATGAGAATATAGAATGATGCTTTTGAATGATTAATTGATTTCTTTAATTCTGACATGTTTATTCCTTTCATTTAACTTATTGTTATTGCGGTAACTTGATATCGAATAAATTATTACTATTTTATTTCAAATTATATATAGTATTTTGGAAAGTGAGACCAAATTGTTTTATATGTTTTTAAACCTTGTTCAAGTTTAGGAGGATGTTACTACAGAGTTTAGTGATCATCCCCTACAAATACTATTTATTCTCAGATGTCGGTTTAGATGAAGAGCTCGGAGTTAATGAGTAGGTAGCTTGGGAAGCGCAATTGGATGGAGGCGTGGATCCTGAGAAGGATGTCTAAAGTTGATCTCTCCATGTCCTAGACTAGGGGATGCATTTTGATACAATGGATATATGTTATTTTGTTTATTCCGCTGCAAGATTAAGTTTGATTTTGAGATGTAATTGTCATAGTTTGACATATTCTTTTTGGATGTAGATGTCATGGTTTTGCATATTCTTTTGGATAATGTTGTAAATATTATGTACGATAAATGTAATTTTTTTTACTTATGGACTTTATTAGTTGCTCTCATGATGTGAATGATTTTAAATAGTAATGCCGTCCAATGTGAATTTTGGGGCATTACAAGCGTCGCGCCAAGGGAGCGTCGCAACCAAGGGAATCTCGGCGCGGGGACATCGCTCCCAGGGGGGTCACAGCCAAGGGCGTCACACCTTAGGTGTCGTGCATGAGTGTTGTGCCTTGAGCGTCACGCATGGTATTAGTATCTACACTAGTCCGGTTGACGTTGTCAAGGCGTCGTGCCCAAGGATACCACACTTGTCACTGTTATTTATACTAGTCCAACTGAACTCTGTCGGGCCCCATTTCTATATCATATGATAATCATTGCCACTTATCCTGTTATGGTGGAGACACGTGTCTTGAAGTTTTTCGAGTATTACATTTGCCCTCTGCGCGAGCCAGGTCGCGGGAAGCGTCCTGCATGCGCACACCATTTTTGGTTTTCACTTGTTGTTTGACTGCAACTATCTGACTGTGGTGCTGATGACTAAAATTTTTTCGTAAAATTGGCCCAAGTCTTTTGCCATCATTTCTTTATTGAAAAAAATATTGTCGTGGTTAGTTGCCTTCTGTATGCATGAACCGTATTTTGATGGGCTTTGCATGCATAATGGTAGCGATGACTTATGTATTTTTGTCCTTGTGCAATTTTTTTTAGGTGTATCTCTTTATCCTTGTACCAGATAGAAAACCTTCACTATCATTGAGCGGTGACTCCCCAACTGGGGCAAGGTTTACTTCCTCGAGCTCTTGCTCCTATGGCTTAGGGCGATCCTCCATGCATTTTGGCGTAGGGACCGCGTTAGTGGGTGTCGCGGTGATGTTGGCCTTTGCTTCATGCACCTCGTCTCAGGGACTCCACCTCCTAGCCTTGTAAGTGGTCCCCCCCACACCATCATAATTGATTGGAGACGACGGATAGGAGATGACAGATACATCTCTTTGTGGCCACCTCCCATAAGGGCTCTTCAACTTGCCTTTTTCTTCAGGCCCGTTCTCTGAGCCTTTCTTTCACACAAACCCTTTGCGATTTACACTACCTAGTGAGTCTTTTCATAACTCGCAGAACTCTCTTTGACTCAATAATTTTCTGTGGGAAATCCATGAAACTAATCCCTGTATTGTAGGGAAAACATCATCTAGATTTTGAAAAGTATGGCAAGAAACATCTAGTCGTTCGTGTGGCCTTTGGTTTGACCAATAGTTCAAGTGGGTTGCCATACCAATCTAAGAAAATTCATTGCATAGTTGGGACTTCGATCAGGATATGCCTTTTCGAGGAACAATAATAAGGTTTCTACAATGGTCTTCATATAACAAGGTCCCTTCACTGGCCTTGGGGTCGGCTCACATTGATTCTTTGCCAATGGTTCAAATTATAAAATGGAGTTCAACTATTGATATACTTCCAAATTCAAGAAAAACATGGTCCATAGTTACGACACCCTTCTGCCGCGTGACCCACCATCGTGGCACCAAATTTCTTGTGAACCTGAACATACTTCCTCGACTGGTTTTTTTTAGGTACCTATAGATTGTGACCACGAAAACTTGCTAGGATAATCACCTCCGGCAAGTTGAGGTCTGTCCCGTGAGTCGTGTGACCCACCACCATGACACTATTACCACTACGAGACTTACCATCACGACACCATGTGCACCTCCTCACCTTCTTTGTGGTCTATGAGGAGTCGATCATGGACATTGCCCCTAGCGCTCGTCAGTACCAACTCTCCACTCTTTAAGCGCTTTTGGAATAGTCAGTGCACGATCCAGCAATCCTTAAGGTTATGTTTGGTGTGGTGATGAAATTCACAAAAAGTCAGGCTTTTTTTTTCTTCTCTAGTTGGCTCCTTTTCCACTGGTGGTAGCTCAACATTATTGTTCTTAATCCATTTCATGAGAATCTGTTGGACTTCCTTCATACCACAAGGATACGAAGGTGGCTTCTCGGGCTTGGAGGCTCTCCCTCGCTTCTTTGGATGCTGACTCCCCTTTGGGACCTCCTCAGCAATTACAAAACTTGCTCTTTTCCTCTTGTCCGTCCAACCGGCTATCTTCAGGGAGGGCTGGACCACCTCCAAAAGCCTTTGAGTAGATTCGCACACCATAGTAAAGGTTTTAAAGTCACTATTAACCAAGTATGCCTTGTATTTGTTGTGCATTCCGTCGATGTAGATTCGGACAAGGGCCTCTTCGGTGACATTTTCTTGGCACTCGATGGCTTTGTCTTGGAACTTGTCAATGTATGTCATCAGGGCTTCTCCGTCATCCTAAATAGTCTTCGTCAAGGAAAAGTATTGTAGTATGTTGCTCGACATGGAAAAACTCTGCATAGAATTGTGGGACCAAGTTGTCCCAATCCCTTACCGATTCTGCCAGGAGGTTAGCATACTAGGTGAAGGCCCTATCCTTGAGGGACTTTTAAAAAAAAAAAAAATCCTTTAGGGACTTGGAAAATTTCCTCATCCAAAGAGGCTTGTGAAGCACATAGTGGCCAAGGCTATCAAGAAAATGAGTAATGTGCTCCTTGGGGTTACCATTTTTTCCATGAAACTTCTTGAACTTTGGCGATGAGTACCCTGCAGGATACATAGCTTGTTGCATAGCCGGGGTAAACTTGGACCTTATGTCCATGGTTGTTGGCATGGTCTCCTTCTGTCTATCTTGTAAGGCTTGTACTTGGGCCAGCTTAACAAACCCAGCACTAGGCATTGGCCGTTCTGTGCTAGCCGAGTACGGCGTCCAAGTAGCTATTTGCTAGCAGAGTACGACGTCCAAGCAACTATGGTGGAAACAAGGTGGTGGTGACGAGGGCTGG